TGTATGATCGCATATACATGTTGCTCACACGTCCGACAATTGGATTGTAGACACATGAGCAACCAAGCATGTGACGTGAGATAAAAGGGGGTTCGAAAATTATCAACGCTTTCTAGCAAAGTCACATTGGGTGTACGTGGGTGAAGGAAGTCATGCAGAAGCTTTGGGAGTTGGTTCGTATCGACTTCAACTAAACATTGGGTGTCAACTACTTCTGCATGATGTCTTGGACGCCCCTGGAATGCAATTTAATTTACTTTTAGTTACTACACTTTTATATGAAGGATATTGTTTTTACTTAAGCCCGTCTAGACTTGTGATCTATTTGGATTGGTTCAATAAAGAATGATTTTGTTTGCTTGGATTTGATTGATTCTTGTTCTTCTACTTCTTTAGTAACTGTTATTAAACATGTTAATTTTGAAACATGGCATGCTAGACTAAGGCATATAGGAAAAGATAGAATGACATGGTTAGTCAGAGAAGGCATGTTGGGGTCACTCACTAATGTCAATTTGCCTATATGTGAGCCTTGTTTAGCTGGCAAAGTAGTTAGAAAGCCTTTTGGAAAGGCTGTTCGAGCTACTCAACTGTTAGAGTTAATCCACTCTGACATTTGTAGACTAATAAGTGTGAAGGCCTGTCATGACACCTCTTAATTTCTAACTTTGATTGACAATTACACGCGATATGGTTTTGTGTACTTGATCACTCTTCGCTATGAAACTTTAGATTGTTTCAAATGCTTCGTAGCTGAGGTTGAGAATCAAAAAGGAAAGACTGTAAAAGCTCTTCACATTGATCGTGGACACGAGTATTTGTCTGACCAATTTAAGGTTTTTTTGTGAAAGTAAGGGGGTACACAGACAACTTTATGTTCCTTATACTACAACAAAATGGTGTTGCTTAAAGGACAAATAGAACTTTATTAGACATGGCCAGGTCTATGATGGCGCAAGCAAATCTCCCCATATCTTCTAGGATGATGCATTATTGACTGCGACGTATATACTTAACCGTGTGCGTTCAAAGATGGTTTCCTCAACCCTATACGAACTTTGGAATGATGTAAAACCCAATCTGGAATTTGCATCCTTGGGATTGTGCTGGATTTGTTCATAATCAATCACATAAGTTTGGAAAGTTGGGTCCTAGAGCAAATAAACATATCTTGATAAGATATTGTGAAAACTCGAAAGGTTATGTAATGTACGGTGAACATCCAGATGGAGGGAGAACCGAGATTAATTTACGTGATGTGGAATTCATAGAGAATAACTTCCCAAAACTTGGCGATACTGTCCAAAACCTTGATCTCCATGAGTTGGAGAAAGATGAAGAAATCGTAACATCTTCAAGCGAATGAGAGGAATTAATTTCCAATCCAATGGTTGCTGAATATGATCTAGGAAGACTTGATGCGAGTGGGAGTACACAACATAGTGGGAGTAATGTATCCATAAACACTCAAGAGAATACACCCAATGATGAGAGCGTACCCTTTGAAATTCAAGGTCGCACAATTTGAAGAAGCAAGAGAGGCTACATTCCCAAACATCATTTTGAGGTTGATGGGAAGGCCTACATTTGCATATTTTCAGAGGAAGACGAACCTTCTTCTTACAAAGAAGCGTTGTCTTCAACGGCCAAAGAAAATTGGATAACTACAATGGAGGAAAAGATGAGCTTTATGGACAAAAATACTGTTTGGGAGTTAGTTGACCTTCCGCCTGGGCGTAAAACCATTGGAGACAAGTGCGTTTTAAAAATCAAACGCAGGCGGATGGTTCAATTGACAAATATAAGGCACGCCTTATGGCAAAATGATACACTCAACAATTGGGTGTAGACTATGAAAAGACATCCTCCCCTGTGGTGAGGTTTGCCTCTATTTGCCTCATTTTAGCTATTGTTACTCAACTAGATTTGAAACTTTACCAAATGGATGTTAAGACAACATTTCTCAATGGAGAACTAGATGAAGAAATATACATGGATCAACCTCTAGGCTTCGAGGCCAATGGACAAGAGCGCAAAGTTTGCCGCCTAAAACATTCTATATATGGCCTCAAGCAAGCGTCTAGATAGTGGAACATTAGATTCCATAATTCAATCACTTCATTTGGTTTTGAGATGATTGAGGAGGACCGCTGTGTGTATCTTAAGAAATCTGGAAAAGTATTCTCATACTTTCTCTGTATGTTGACAACATCCTAATAGCGAAAAATGACAAAACCTCTATAGAAACCATGAAAGCGTGGTTGTCATCCCATTTTGAGATGACATAAATGGGTGAAGCACATTATGTGCTTGGAGTTAAGATCACGAGAGATCGTTGAAGGAAACTTCTAAGTTTGTCTCAAGAGACTTACATTAAGAAGGTACTTGAACAATTTAAGATGGAGAACTCCAAACCCATAAACACTCCTATGGAAAGAGGCACAATATTGTCCTTAGAACAATATCCAAAGACCAAGAAAGAGAAAGAACAAATGGCAAACATCCCCTATGTCTCTGCATTAGGGATGTACGCGATGCTTTGCACGCATCCGGACATTTGCCATGTCGTGGGCATGGTAAGCCGCAATCAAATTAATCCTGGACAAGCTAACTGGCAAGCCGTCAAGAGGATTATAAGATACCTGCAAGGAACAAAAGATTTAGCCTTATGTTACCAAGGAGGGGATCTAAAGTTGAGAAGATATAGTGATGCAAACTGGGCAAGCGATAGAGATGAACGCAAGTCCACCTTAGGTTATGCTTTTGTCCTTGGAGGTGGAATTGTTTCTTGGTGTAGCAAGAAGCAAGCTTGTATTACTCTGTCCAAAATGGAGTCAGAATATGTTGCCTTTGGATTAGCTATTCAAGAAACTGTTTGTCTTAGGAGGTTTCTACGACAGATGGGAGTTACAGCTTATGCTCAAAAAACTGTACTTGTCTACTGTGATAGTACTTCAGCCTTAGCATACACTAAAGATCCTAAGTATCATGGCAAATCTAAGCACATAGATACACGATATCATTTCTTTAGGAATAAGGTTACCAAGGGTAAAGTAGTGTTGAAACATATCTCGACCAGCAATATGCTTGCTGATCCCATGACTAAATCCATAATTAGAAACTCGTTTCTGACTTATGCAAAGAATATGGGTTTATGTACGGTTTAATGTGTTTTTCTTTCTATTTGACATTATTATTGAATAAAAAGACATTCAAGTTTTTCATTTCATATTTATTTATTTTTGAAATGATTGTTTACACATCTTTATGAGTGTCACCAAGATAGAATCTGTTTTTCACAAGAACGATTCTCCCTGGCGCAGAGATAGTGAGTAGGATTAGGCATTTGTGTCCTCAACGCATTGGGCTAAGATTGGACATGTGTATGTTGAATGTACCAATATGCACAAGGTAAACGTCGCCTTTGAAATGTCTAAGATGAGACGTAACAAAAGTCGAACATGAGATTTGTTTCATGTTGAAGCTTGTAAAGCTGGATATGAGTATCTAGAAGGGCACCAAGAAGGCGACTAGGCTAGAAGACTCAGGTTAGGCGTTGTGTAGCAACTAGACTAAGATCCGTATGGTGTATGTTCAATGGACATATGACACACTCATTGAAATGAGGATACACTATAACATACAAATCATATTGTATGTGCCATAACCGATTGATAGTGGGAGTGATGAATTGATCCTTGCTTCAATCATTGTGTGAACCACAAGGAATCTATATGATTCCACCTTTATGCCCTTTGAACTAAAGTCTATGTTAGAAAGATGAGGTTTAATGATCATTACTTTAGCACGTTTATCTAAGACGGTCAAGTTAGCTACTGTCCTAAGAGGCATGTCTAGGCAAGCAATTAAATCAAATTAGACTGACATGAGAGCTTAAGGAAGATAGTTCGAAGAAAACACCATGTCATGTGATTCATTAGTTGCGCAATGTCTTTTGATATTTGTTATCAAACATAAGACATGGATACATGATACTTGTGCCACATGACATTGTTTTTTATTTCATAACGAGGGATAAAGAATGTCAAGTCTGGTGTGTGACAAACAGTCTAGGGCATAAAGCGATGAACTTCTGAGTGATACAGTGTTGTTAGTTTAGTGATAACTTAATGGCAGTGCTCCTGGTTATGTATGTTCTTTCTCGCGAGGTCGTGTGTCCCATTTCCTGTATGAGGAGATAGACTAGAATGGATGTGAACTAAGTGTGTTGATTGAGACTATGCCACACCCTATGTGGGTGAGTGGGAGATGTAGGACTTATCTTATGGGATAAATAAATATCAAAGGATATTAACCCCCTAATTATGTATGTGATAATTAGATGAAAATCAAGAGATATTCATATTAGAATATACTTGGGATTTTCATGGGCTTTTCAGTCTTTGTACACTCTTCCCAACCACTATATAAGGACGCTTTGGGGAAGAGAGAAAATATAAGAAACGCAAGCATTTCCACAGTTCAAATATTCTAGTTAGGTCTTTAGAGCTATCACTTTCGGCTCTAGGTCTTGGGAGGCGAAAACCAAGGGGCAACTCGACATACCGTAGCCAACTTGACGACCTGCGAGGTTCTAGACGTGCACAGAGGGTCAGAGCAGTTGCTCGTGTTTGTAGGAACGTGTTGAGATTTAAGCTTCCGCATAAAAGGTACACACGTCCTCTCGAATTCATTTATAGTCTTCCAACAATAAGTAAAATATCTCAACACAGCTTTCATCTACAATTAATCCAATACATGCATGATGATGCACATTTTGGCAAAGTTGGCCACGAGCCATGTGTCTGTATTTTAACATTAACTTTGTTTTCTGTTACTATGGTAAAATGTCAACTACATATAAAAAAAATTAGATTATGTAAATTAATGTCAAAATTGTTTAATACAAGGCTTTGGATTTGATATCTTTTGTGTCAATTGAAGAACTACCATAGTTGCATTGATCAACATGATGGTGGAGATTATCAAGATTGTTGGGAAAAAGTCATTTAGATTAAATCATAAGAAAAACAAAATTAACAATACAGAAATTGCTTAATTAATCAAAATAACTAAGACATACTTGTTCTCCTAGAAATAAACATATCTATATAGCTTCTGCTTCTTGGTTACACATATTCCTTGACATTGATCATTTCTTCTTCATCAAAATCACAAGGCTTGTCCTCATCAATCCTCCCAATTCCAACACTTTGACCGCGAGCCATGACGTTCGATCCACTCCCAGCCTTCCGAGACAGCCTAGGCTGCTGTGTTTTTCCAGCAACTAGACCTAGATTAGTACTAACAGGAGTCCTAGCAGAAGCAGCCCTCACAAGCTCCCTGAAATCTTCATCGCTGCTGGCGGTTGATATGGTGGAGCTGGCACTGAGGCTTCTAGGCAAAGCACTTGGGATTTGGGCACTAGGGCAACCCATCATTGCATTACAGTCGAATTGTCCAGAGCACTCTGTAATGCTCTGAACATAAAAGTCCCTGGCCTTTACCAAAAGCCTTATGGGAAGCTTCATCAACTTGCTGAATTTTCTTTGATCTTTCTTAGATTTGTTCATAACGTTGGTCATGAATTATGATCATGTAATTGCAGTATGGTATATTTGTACACCCAATAAATTTTTATTTTTCGGCTTAAATGCATAATCTGGTTTGTATGGGTTTATGCCATGTGTCCATTGTTTGTGATGTGTATCTACTAAATGTTGATAAACATGTTGCAACTTGCAAGTGTCCAACGTTTTTTTGTGCGACTTATCTCATCAGTTTTCACTGGGTTTTATTTTTTATTTTTCAATCCAAAAGATGGAAAGAGCCAAAATGGATGAACTTTTTCCACGGTTTGAACATGTATTAAGTTGCTTTCTCAAGTGACTAACAAAAAAAAGGGGTGTACTTTTCATGAAAAAACATCTAAAATTTAAAAGACGACAATTGTTGTAGGCCTATTCTATTGAGGGAAAGAGAGAGGGCCAGCGGTTTTGTATGTGATTTCTCACCCTTCGTGCCTTTATGTATTGTGATAAGGAAGAAAGAATCTTACTCTCCAAGTAATGCAAATACAACAAGGAAAGATCTTATAGAATTCTACACATAATCTACTAAGATTTACACCTCCGAATGGAATTAGAACTACTACACAATCACACCCTGAATGGAATTAGAACTGCAACACTCCCCCTTAATTGTGTGTATACTCAAGTAGATGGCGCATAAGGTCTTCAACGATGGATGTAGACATAGTTGATGAAGTCGTCGGCATAATAAATGAATGTGAGTCTAAAAAACAGACAGAAGAATGCATATAGTAGTAAAATTCACAAAACTTAGCTATGATAAATTCTGAAGTAGGATAAAGTCCGAATATATCCAATGCCAGTATGCATGTGCCACCATGCACCGTCCAATGTCATGGGATATTTTGTTCAGATTAAATTATGTGAAGGAGATAATATATCCTATTAAATCGGGGCTTCTTATGCATCCCATGTCCAACAATTATGACTAAAAACATGCTCAATGGCCACTGGTAATTGATATCACAAGAAAAGGGTTTCCGAATAATACTTGCATTCTCCTTCTAAGATGAGCTCTTCCAGTCACTTACCAATAACGTGTTAATTGTGGGAATTTTATAATTGGAACCATTAAATTTCTTAATCTTCATTTAAAAATTATTTTTACAAAATTATTCAAATCGAAGATTGTTCAGTCATCCATATGCATCAAATATATGGATGATACATTATTAATGTGTTCTTGGTACATACACCATTGATTTATTTGATCCGATTCGAATAATTTTTTGTAGGAATAATCTTCAAATGAAGATCAAGGAATTAAATGGTTCCAATTATGAAAATTTTCCAGGGAACATACGTTATTTGCAAGAAGGATTATGAGCTCATCTCCATAAAATAAAAAATAAATAAAAAATGCAACCATTATTTACAATATTACTCTCAGCTGTATTAAAAAGTGGGGAGATAATTTACACCTAAAACATAATTGGTTGAAAATAAAAATACAAACTATGGAGTAAAAAATAATCCCAAAATTCCCGTAGGCGACACGTGAAAAAAAAATGCAACCATTATTTACATTATTACTCTCAACTGGTATTAAAAGGTGGGGATATAATTTACACCTAAAACATAATTGGTTAAAAATAAAAATACAAACTGTGGAGAAAAAAATAATCCCAAAAATCTCTAGGCGACACGTGGATTTTTGGACAAGAAATACGACATTACCCTTGAGAAACATAGAAATTCGCACGCGCATGCAACGAACAATAATGGCTCAAAGAAGAAAGCATCAAAGGTGATCTTTATGAAATTTATTCAAATTCCACTCATCACTCCCCTCATTCATTTTATTCAATAAAGTAACCTCCAAAACTTTCTATTTAATTTGAGAATAATTACCACAGTAATTGCAAGATACTATTTCACATAATATATTGCAATAATTCACCCAATTTCACCATATATGGCCGGCCACTTCTATAAATACCTCACTGATCAAACTAAAATGCAAAGCCATTTTGCTACCCACAAACTCCTAATAATATATTCTTTTCAGAATTCTAACTTTGGCATCAAAGATTCTTCGACCAAAGTCCCCCATTGATCACGCATGAGGCTTTTGGCCTTGCTTGAATGTATTATTATTTTGCAGGTGCATTTTCAAATGAAGAGACCACAGAAATTTGCATCCACACTAAACACCTGACAATCCGCCACTTAGTACCATCATCCAAACTTTGCTCCACCACAATGGTTCATTCCATAGTGCAACGCATTATTGAATGACGTATAACTAGACCTGACATTTTAAACCCAACACGTTAATCTGACTCGACCCACCCATTAAAATTAGCATTTGGGTGAGTATTTAACGGGCCGGGTTGTTAACGGGTCAACCCGTTAAATAACGGGTCATTTTGGGTCAACCTGCAAAACCTGTTAGCACTTGTTAACACTCGTTATTGAGGGCTTTTGTGTAATTTCAATATTTATAATAAGAAACCCTCAAACTCAAAGCCTATCTCTGCCACTTCAAGGAGGTCGCTGATATGCTCCAGGACTGCATTCCCAGCTCAAAATGGGAACAGACGACTCTTCCTCCTCCGGTGGCTCTGACACTTCATCTCAGCCGTTTTCTCGAGAGCAAGTCAAGCTTCTCTCCTCCAACAGCGGCAACTCATCCTCTAGCTTGCCGGATTAGGATTCGGGATCCTTCCTTCAAGTGCTTCTCTGTCTTGGACTTGAAGAAGAAGGTCATGGCAAGCCTTTGTCAAATGGCGAAGAGGATGGACAACGGAGGTAACTATTGAAATGGATTGATTCCAGTGGTTTTGCATATTGGCATTGCATGTTGGATTTTTGAAATAGTTTTTTTTGTGTTTAGCTTTCTATGACTTTACTAGTCCCATTATTTATTTTCAGATCAGGCTTCTTGTTGTGCCTTTATGTTTCACTACTAAATGCACTACCAACTGTTGTAAATGAATCTGAATGTGAGATTTTGTTTGTACATTAAAATGCGTAATTTAAAATGCAAAATTAAACAAAAAATCAAAAGAAATTGTTAATGGGTGTTAACGGGTGAAACAGATGAAACGGATGACCAATGAGCTTAACGGGTTAGGTTCGGATGACCCGCTAGCTTAACGAATTGAGTTCGAATGACCCATTAACTTAACAGGTCGGATTTCACCCAACCAAAACCTAATAAATCCAATCCGTTTCTATAACAACATTTTGGTTGGGATTTGGGACCATATATGTAAGCGTATACTGTATCACCTATGTTAGCGGCTCTAACACTAGTTATGGTATGTTACTTTCATTTTTTAGGGAAGACTTCAATATGAAGATTCTCTTTTCTAACTTTGTGCTAAAATCCAACAGCAAGTAGACCGTATTTAATAAATTTCTTTAGAAATCAACTAACTCTGAAGTTAGTGGTATTTCTTTTCTGATTTCCCAATATTAGAAAAGGTTCTAACTTCTAGAGTCCAGTTTTCTTGATCATTTGGCGACTAAGGATTTGTGGTCGCTCATTGTTTGAATTTTTTCTAAAAAAATAAATATAAAACTACAATAAAATGTCACCAAGTCAAGTGACCTCTGCTATATCAACAGTTAGGAGACGTTGATAAGATGGAGGAACTTGCTCAAAAAATACTAAATTCAAATTGCAAGATAAACTTAAACAAGCTAAATCATCAACAACAAAATTAATGTTTCGAATGACATGTCGAATTTCATAAGATCATCCAATCTTAGAATTTAATATCAAAGATTGATATTGAAACATTAAAAGCACATTTATTTATTCACCATTTCTGATGGATTCCTTGATCAACATGTGACCAATACAAAATTTCTGAGAACTTCAAATCTCTCCTTTTAAACTTTTATTAAAATAATAAATTTTCTTACGAAACAAATAAAGACCAACGAAAATGATCAGATAATTAAGGAATTGTTATAACCCACGTGCATTTGGTTTTGGAGTAAAATGCCAATTTTTCCCTGAATTTTTACTCAACTTTCAATTTCTTCTCTAAACTGTTTTTTTTTTTTTTTTTTTTTGTGAAACCCCTAAACTTTTTAATCGGAAAATTAAGTACTCAAACTAATTTTTTGGCCAATGTCCCCCTTGCTGTTAGTTTTCATTCATTTCATCCAAACTTCTCTTAAATGTAAGCATGTACACAACATGTAAGGATAGTTTGATCGATTCATTTTTTAAAATAATTGAAAACCATAGATTTCTAAAATGTCGACCTACGGAAATATATGTGATTCTATAACTTTTGTGTCTAAAGGTCTAGCGAAGTGACGCTTTTGTCCTCAAAGGAGTGCCACGTGGTGTGCATGTAATAAAAGTTAACGTTAATTTGGATGGGATCTAAAAAAACTAACAATAGAGGGGAAATCGGCAAAAAAAAAAAGTTTAAGTCCTTAAATTTCCGATTAAAACTTTTAGGGGAAAATCTAAGGCTAAGTGAAAATTCAGAGCAACTCCAACATATCAAGGCCCCCTAGGGCAACTTCCTATTGAATAGCCTCTAGTGAACAATAATTGCCTTTAATGAACAGTAATTGCATTTTGCATCTCCACCCCTAAACTGAATAGCCATGGCAATATGCAATAAAATATTAGTATTTTTTATTTTATCAAATAATAAAAAATAATTTTATTTCAAATTTCGGATATGATTTTTAATCGGTCTCGTTGTAACACGTTTCATTAAATAAGAAATTACAACCCAAAATAGTTGAGAAAATATAAAATTGTGGTGTAAGATGGAAGATAATGATAAGATATTTATAGAAAAATTAAATTTTTTTTTTAATTTTTTTAAAAAAATTCGGAATTTTTTATTAATTGTTTACATTTTAAAATTTTTTTTATTAATTTATTAATTTTTTTATTGCTTTTTTACATTTTTTTATTAATTTTATAATGTGGCTAACATTATTCTAACGTCAACCTTGCATCATGTATCCTCAGGCTCTCGGGTCATCAATTCGAGCCAGGCCTCTCACTCGAGTCTTCCCCGAACCCAACCGCCCGCATGGGCTGGAGTTGCTAGTTGGGGCAATTGGGTTGGAGCAACAACCGGTCCACCAGGCTATTGAATACGGTGGAGCTGCTCTCAGGAGGGGAATTCACAGTTTACTCTTTGGTTTTGCAGTCCTTTTCTCGTGGATCCAAATGATGACCACATTGACAGTTCCGATAACTGATGAACACATTTCGTGCTCTATAATATACATCTTTCATTTCACATACTGTTTTACATAGCAAATACTGGTTCAAAATCTGCAGAACTAAAATCTTATATAACAACCCCCACTCTACAATCCACTAGCTCAAGCATTTGAACTAAAAAGGATATTAAGATCAACATAATACAATTGACTTTGATATAAAAAGCTACCCCTTCTAATTTGTTCTCCTAGAAACAGCATAGCTCCTACTCCTCAGATACACTGCTCTCTTGATCTTGACTTCTTCTTCTTCATTAAATTCACACATCTTGTCTTCGTCGATCCTTCCGATTCCAACACTTCGACTGCGAGGCATGGCGTTGGGCACTCCTGCCACCGGAGGCTGCCTAGGGAGCTGAGCTTTTCGCGCCAGATCGAATTCAATTTTATTCCTTACGCTCCTATCAGAAGCAGCCCTCATAAGCTCCCTGTAATCTTCGTTATCGGCAGTGCTTGATTTGGTAGAGCTTGTGCTGAAGCTTCTAGGCAAAGCGCTTGGGACTTGGGCAGCAGGGCAACCCATGACCGTGCCGTAATCGAATCGACCGGAGCACTCGGTCATGCTCATGATGTAGAAATCCCTGGCCTTGATTAAAACCCTTAGGGGGGCCTTCATGAACTTTGTGAGTCTGCTTTCTTTGGTAGGTTTCTTCATGTTTGCCATGATCGAGCATGCAACTGTAGCGAGTCTTGGAAATTTGTATACCAAATAGTTTTGGCTTATGTGATCTCTCCCCACGCTAGAAAACAGGTACGTCAGTATACATCAAGGAAAGGGATCGCGGCTTTTCATAATGTAAAGGGATGTATTTCTTTTCTTGGTATTATTTTAAGGGGTTTTTGTACCGCGACATATATCGATAGGTGAGTTTGGAAAAATTAGTGTACCGCCACATGCAATTACACAAAACACGGTCGTATTAATTTTATGGGACACATTTGATACGTAAGATTGACTTGGTTTAGACTAATTATAAGTATCGATTTGGCTTGACTTGGCTGTTTAGGCCTAAATGGTATAAAATACGCGTACATAGAAAAAGTATAATCTCAGCTTATCTAGTTGTTAATCAACCTCATGCTTAATCATGTTGTGACTAGTGTTAAATAGCCGATTCAATTTTAATCCGGTCAAATAAACATCTAAGATGGTATTATTCATGTACTTCTTTTTATTTTCACACATCGCTTTTAATTTTGAGAGTTTTAACGAAAAGTTCGCAATACTATTCACTTTAACGAAAAACCACATTTTTACACTAAAAAGTCAAACCTGGTACTATTTACTTTACTCTTTATTTTGTCCTTATCGTTATAACTCAAAGTTTTCAAACCTTTTTCATTAGTTTTCTTTTAATTTTTGACTTTCGGACCAAATGAATCAAAAAAGATTAAATAACAAAAATAACTGTGACATCCCACATCGCCCAGGGAGTGATCCTTATATGTATATTCCCATCCTTACCTAGCACGAGGCCTTTTGGGAGCTCACTGGCTTCGGGTTCCATGGGAACTCCGAAGTTAAGCGAGTAGTGCGTGAGAGCATTCCCAGGATGGGTGACCCATCGGGAAGTTCTCGTGTGAGTTCCAAAAACAAAACCGTGAGGGCGTGATGGGGGTCCAAAGCGGACAATATCGTGCTACGGTGGTGGAGCGGGCCCGGGAAATCGTCCCACCCGGGCCGGGATGTGACAATAACAGTAGTGTGTAAAAGATAAAAAATAAAAAAATAAAAAAATAAAACTAATGAAAAAGATTTGAAAATTTTGAGTTTTAACGATAAAGACAAAATAAAAAGTAAAGTGAATAGTACTAAGATTGACTTTTTAGTGTAAACTATGATTTTTCGTTAAAGTGAATAATAACAGAAGTTTTTTTGTTAAAATTCCAAAAAAAATAAAATATAAATAGCACCACCCAAATTATAAACCAGGATAATAGTACCAAATCTACTACCCATTGTGATATTACTGACAAAAAAATTATAATTTCAAGGGAGAGTGAGTGCGCGGTCTGCTTTGTGCGAGTGAGGTGGTAAACACGGACAGACGGAGTGAAAAAGTTGGAGGGATCATGGACTTTGTCAAAGTGAAGCTGGATCAGAATTATTTATAAGCGTATATGATAAGAACAAGAGTACCATTCACGAAATAGTATACTTTATACTAGATACCGTAAAATACAATTAAAGACAGAGTGTTACGAATATAAAAAATTAATAAGTTGTAGCTGACGGTGGAACAATGGGCGATTTAGAATCATTCTTTCTTTTGTTTCGTGTACTGAAATTTATCCCTTATAAAATGGATGGACGATTTATAAGGGACGGACGAGTATTTTTATGCTTACACCAACATACACGCAACAAAATGTGATGTTAAATTTTATTGAGAAATTTTATTTGATCTTTAACAATTTATACTTTGATATTGAATACTTCTGTTAATTAGGTATTAAAATCTAATGGTAATTCTGCTGCATGGTTTCCAATTAGTAATTCTTTAGGTCGTCAAGCTTAATAAGTGCTTTTCATTCTACAAGCTGAAGCTACATCTTTAAGGAGAGCTATTGAATGGATCATCCGAATGAAGTTTGATAAAGTTTACACTGAAGTAGACTCTAAAATTTTAATAAAAGCGATCAAGAAGGAGATTCAAATTCCATGGAATGATGGAGACTATCTTCTCTCGTCAAGGATATATATGGCATTTGTTGAACGATTTCCTAATTATATGATGAATCACATTTACAAGGAAGGCAATATGGCTGTTGATGGTTGGTAATCTAGCACATACTTGCAGTCAATTGTGTATTTGGCTTTGTATTTTTTTCTCCAAAAATAGTTCATAGGCTTTTATTTGATTTGTATGTAATAGGATCCGTGGAGGATCCAGTCTGAAATGTTTGTTGTCTTAAAAAAATTCTACTTTATGTAATATTATTAAGAACAAAAATATTTAAAATAGAAGGTAGAGGCGGTTGGATTCCCGTACAAAAACAAGCTAACCAAAAATATCATGCACAATCCTAATTACATCTTGAAACCCAATTTTCATAAAAATGCTACGAGTTAAGTTTAAATATTCAACAGGATCTTCTCCGGATTCTTTTGGTGAGAATCCTAGGAATCCGTGTATCATCTTCGTTCATCGTATATCGTGTGGTCAGTTTTTGTCAAGTATTGTTTGTGTTTAATTTTAAATAAAAATATTTAAAATAATTTCTTCTCGCACGATGTACGATGAACGGACAAGATTGACGAATCCCCGGGATCCTCACAAAGAGGATCTGACGAGGATCCAGGTTCTTTAAATATATGCATGAGTGCAAAAATGAGGGATATGTTAATTTATAACCATGCCATGCCAACAAAATAATAATTTTATAAATTAGACGTTTGTATAACCACGCTGAGCCCATGTAAATTTATGAACATTTATCACGCCACGAAATTTTACGCCACCAATGTTGTAATTAAATCACCCCAAGCACGGTACAAGTTAAAGTGGGCCCAAACCACATATAAAGGCTTACCAAGTTGATCATGGTGTTAATGGCTACGGAAGTTTATTGGGCCTATGTGAAACTAAGGTTATAGAAGACTCTATGGCTGCTTGGGAGTACCAAAAGTTCAAGCCCATAGTTTTTGGTTTAATTGGGTAAGTTTGCAAGAGAACAAAAACAAGTTTCCCTTACCCTTGCAAACCAACTAGGATACTTAGGAAGAAACCAAAACCCAAAGATGAATTGCTACAAGATCATGTGCAAACAACGAACTCCATTAATGAGAGAAGGATTTTTCCATTCCAAGCTTACACAGGAAAACGAGGAAGGAAAACAAAGAGACTACTGTTTCCAAAAGAAAAATATTTGGGAATTAACCATAGAAGAGGGTGTGTGACCAATGTGCGCAACCCAATCTTCATGAGGCTAGCAGTGTTCTTCAATGTTATACTGAAAGAGAAAGCCATAAAGGCGCCTAGGGAAAAAAGAAAGGGAGTTTTAACGAAAAGTTCACGGTATTGTTCACTTTAACGAAAAACTATATTTTTACACTAAAAAGTCAATCATGGTACTATTCACTTGACCCTTTATTTTATCCTTATCATTAACACTCAAAGTTTTTAAGCCATTTTCATTAGTTTTCCTAAAAAGAAATGAAGACTTAGTCATAATAGGAAGAAATGAGGAATTCAAATGATTCCTTGGGGAAAGATGGAAAGTAGTCCTACACCTATGAAATTAGAAGGAAACTTTGAATTCTGGTCAATGTATTAATAAAGGTAAATTTCGTATTTATATTGGGAAATCAGCTTCTGCACGTCGTTTGCGCATTTTATCCTGGCTCAATGTCTCTGAAGGTGAGCTTCCATTTACTTATTTCACATGCTTTGGGAAATCAGCTTCTGCGGTCGTTTCCTTCTAATTTCATGGTTGTAGGACTACTTTCCATCTATCATGAAATAGATTTATCTTTTCACCTCCAACAACACTTTCTATTTTAGCAAACTTTGAATATTTTATTATTAATAATTCAAAAACAACCCACTCATTTGCTTAGAGTAATGCTAGGTAGGCTAACTATTTAGATCAAATTTGCAAACCATGTAATGTGTCATCAATAAAAAATGAGCACGTTAATCAACATTTAAGTAATAATTCAATTATTAACAGCCACATCATAGAATTTAAAATTTTGGTTAAATAGTTGGATTTCATAGCATTACCCTTTTCCAAAACAAAATTATCTCTCTTCCTTTCCTCCTTGCTCAAGGGTTCACCTTGAGTTTTATTTTATTTTTTTTTAATATTAGTCGATGAACAGTTGCTCTATAAATTTAAAGAGTTACTGTTTATTTTGCTATTAATAGAGACTCTTTTATAGAGTCGGTTGGAATTGTGTTTTCTTAAATTTGACTCTTTAAAGTAGAGTTTTGGCTATTTTACAGGATCTCTTGAAGATACTCTTATATTTTAAAAAGATTTTGCTTTCTATTAAATATTTTTTTTAGGATATGTTTACCTACCTGGGGAGTTGGAGAAGCAAAGAATTGAGAGTAATGAAGATGAGAATGAATGAGTGTGAAATAAACAAGCGCGGTCTTGATTATTCATAAAATCCATATCAGAATTTTCTAGGCACCTCATACATAATCAATAAAGGCCTTATTTATTCAGTCTTCATTTGTTAGTATTTACAAGATATCACATACAGATTGCTTGCAAATGTATATCTTGTCAGTGTTTTGCTTGACAATACGCTTGAGGTAAGTTGACATGTTGTTGATCATATTCAATAGTTTCCCTGTCTCTTAAGATCGGAATATTGGTTTACTCATATTTGGGCTCAACTCATTGTTGGAGTTTGAGACCCTCTTGTCCCACATTGGTCAATAGTATTTTTTCACAAGCCTTTATATAGGCTTATTCCCTTTTCTTAGTAATTAGAACTTGGACCATTTGGAAATGGATTGAAGACTTGGGCCTTATGGTTGTGTGGATTAGGCTTGAATATAATATAGCCTAAATACAATTAATATTAATTAATCAAGACAAGGGCCTTGGGCCTTAGAATTTAAAATTAATCAGATTCATTAATTTTAATTTTCGGATTAAGTTTTTTAATTAATTTATTAATTAAAAAACGTTTTGATTAAAGGACACAGCTATTAGAAAGAGTTGTACTTTTTGATTAAAAGATACAGCTATTAGAAAGAGTTGTCTGCTTTCA